TTTTCATCAGGAATTAAATGTTTTCACGTTTTTTTTTTAAAGTGGAATTTATTTTTTATTCAGAATTAAATGCGTCATGTAAACGTGGAAACTTCTGCTTTGTGGTCCCGTTTTTTACAGTTTTGTTTTACTTAAAGCTTCACTGTGTAACTTTTCCTCCGTCGTCGTCGTCGTCGTGACGGAGGAAAACGATGAGTTTGAGTTTCAGACTCCGAGCAGATGTTTGTTTCACCAACGGATTCTGCTCCAAAACGAGTTTGAGACTAAACGAGCGGCGAGCATCTGGTCTGACAAGAAAAGAGAGGGAAGAAGAAGAAGAAGAAGAAGAAGAAGAAGAAGAAGAAGAAGAAGGGAGAGAGGGAGAGGAGGAGAGGAGAAGAGAGGGAGAGAAGAGGAGGAGAGGGAGAGGGAGAGAAGAAGAAAAGAGAGGAGAGAAGAAGAGGAGGAGTGAAGAGAGGAGAGGAGAGAGGGAGAGAAGATGAGAGGAGAGAAGAGGAGAGGAGAGAGAGAGAGGGAGAGAAGAAGAGAGGAGAGAAGAAGGAGAGGAGAAGAGGAGAGAGGAGAGGGAGAGAGGAAGAGAGGAGAGAGAGAAGAGAGGAGAGAGAGAGAGAGGAAGAGAGGGAGAGAAGAAGAGGGGGAGAGAAGAAGAGAGGAGAGAAGAAGAGAGGAAGAGAGAGGAGAGGAGAGAAGAAGAGAGAAGAGAAGAGAGAGAGAAGAGAGAGAGAGAAGAGAGAAGAAGAGAGAGAGAGAGAGAGGAGAGAGAGAGAGAGAGGAGGAGAGAAAAGAGAGGGAGAGAAGAAGAGGAGAGAGAGAGAGAGAGAGAGAGAGAGAGAGAAGAAGGAGAGAAGAAGAGAGGAGAGAAGAAGAGAAGGAGAGAAAAAGAGAGGGAGAGAAGAAGAGGAGGAGAGAAGAAGAGAGGAGAGAAGAAGAGGAGGAGAGAAAAAGAGAGGGAGAGAAGAAGAGGAGGAGAGAAGAAGAGAGGAGAGGGAGAGAAGAAGAGGAGGAGAGGAGAGAGAAGAGAGGAGAGAAGAGAGAGAGAGAGAAGAAGAGGAGAGAGAGAGAGAGAGAGAGAGAGAGAGAGAGAGAGAGAAGAGAGGAGAGAGAAGAGGAGAGAGAGAAGAAGAGAGGAGAGGAGAGAGAAGAAGAGAGGAGAGAGAGAAGAAGAGAGGAGAGAAAGAAGAGAGAGAGAGAAGAGAGAAGAAGAAGAGAGAGAGGAGAGAAGAAGAGGAGGAGAGAGAGAGAGGGAGAGAGAGAAAGGAGAGAGAAAAAGAGAGGGAGAGAAGAAGAGGAGGAGATAAGAGAGAGGAGAGAAGAGAGAGGAGAGGGAGAGAAGAAGAGGAGGAGAGAGAAGAGAGAGAGAAGAGAGAGAGGAGAGAAGAAGAGAGGAGAGAGGGAGAGAAGAAGAGGGGAGAGAAGAAGAGAGGGAGAGAAAGAAAGAGAGGAGAGAAGAAGAGAGGAGAGAGGGAGAGAAGAAAGGGAGAGAAGAGGAGTGAGGGAGAGAAGAGAGGGAGAGAAGAAGAGGAGGAGAGAAGAAGAGAAGGAGAGAATAAGAGAGAGAGAAGAAGAGAGGGAGAGAAGAAGAGAGGAGAAAGAGAAAAGAGGGACAAGGAGAGAGAGAGAAAAGAGAGAAGAGGGAGAGAGGGGAACAGCAAAGGAGAGAAAGAGAGAGAGAGAGAGAGAGCGATGGCGACAGGGAAGGAGGGCGGAGAGAAACGAGTTTGTGAGTAAACGAGCTCCGAGCATCTGGTCTGTCAAGAGAAGAAATGAGGAGAGATGGAGAGAGAGAGAAAGAAAGAGAGAAGAGGAGGAGAGAGAGAGTGAAGGATGGAGAGAGAGGAGAGTGAAGGATGGAGAGAGAGAGAGTGAAGGATGGAGAGAGAGGAAGAGGAAGAGTGGACGAGTTTGTGATTAAACGAGCTCCGAGCATCTGTTCTGTCAAGAAAAGAGACGGAGGAAGAAGAAAAAGAGGAGAGGAACGAGGGAGAGGGAGAACACAAACATAAGTGCTGCTTTAAAGCTTCTCTGTGTAACTTTTCTGACTCGCGACAAGAAAAGTGACCGAGTGTGTCTTTAAATCTGAGCTAATGTTACGATGGAAGTGATTTGATTATTTTGTGATACTTTTGCCTCAAACGTAACTTCAGTTTGTGAGTAAACGAGCTCAGAGCGTCTGGTCTGTCGAGGAGAGAGGGAGGAAGAAAAAGAGGAGACGAGAGAGAGAGATTTAATTAGATTATTTTTCCTCCTAAAACAAAACTTGAGTCTCAGTGTCAAAGAGTCAAAAAACTCAACAAACTGTGGGATTAATGTTTGACTGAAACACGAGACACAAAACACAAACCAGACTCACTAAAGTCAGACTCAGTAAAGTCAGACTCACTAAAGTCAGACTCAGTAAAGTCAGACTCAGTAAAGTCAGACTCAGTAAAGTCAGACTCAGTAAAGTCAGACTCAGTAAAGTCAGACTCAGTAAAGTCAGACTCAGTAAAGTCAGACTCAG